CCACCTGGAACAAACCTAACACCTCCCAACTGACTTTCCAAAATGTTACAAAGCCATCCACTCCATTTATAAGTCCCCCACCCCCAACTCAAATTTTGAAACTATTCACTCGATGTACTTCTCTCTTTCTCTACAGCCCCTGTATGAGGTCGATGACTTACGAGATGCATTTCGTACTTTGGGACTTTGATAGCAGCCTCCGGCAATGTCACCAACAACGAAATATCTCTGCTGAAGATAGTGGATAAAAGAACGATTCTTCAATTCTTCAAGTCTTCTCTGTTTTTCTTCGAAAAAAAATATTTGTATATGACTCTTTGAGAATATCTATGTCTTGAAAATAGAGAAGGAACACAGGCCCCCCAGGGTGATGCTGACAATGGCGCAGTTTTGAATGCAACATTGACCCCTGCTGGGAACAACAGAACTGCAGGACTTGGGAGCATCCTAAAATGTCAATGTTCTGTGACTTTTAGGCAGGATGAAAGCTGAAGGCAGATCCTAAAGAGCGTGGTGAGAGGATCACATGTCTTGCTATCAGTGTCCTTTATTGTTTGATTCATTTGAATTGTCAGTGGTGTTAGCGATAGATTTTCTACTCCTTTCCCTTGAGGTTTACTTTCAAGTAACACGATCTCTTCTATCAAGCCATGATCTATAGTTCCTCCTAATGAGAAGATCTGGGCGGTTGTAACCCAGACCATCTCTCCAAAGCATTACTATCCCAACGTGTGCTGTATGTTTTAATTGTCGGAGGCATATTTTTATGTTTGTACGTGAGAGGATTTTTTTAGGGGGGAGAGGGAGGAAGTACAGACTACTTATGGTCACCTTCGAGCTATTTTAATGAAGGATCTCAAGATAGATATGAGGACTATGAAGACACTAACCATGAGTTGATGTCTCAAGTAGCAAATCCTCTGGAAGTACAGACTCTTTTAAAGAAGTCTATAATTTAGAAACACCCACAAACTTCCCACATAATATTAGTGAACACTTGCAACAAAGTTTCTTGAATGTCGAGAAAAGGAAAATCTGTTCTTTGGTGGGTATTTTAACCTCAGCCATGCCAACCAGGTCAAAGTTTTCTACCTTTCGTATGTGTGTGATACTTCTTCCAAAGATATGTTAACTATATAAGAGTGTTATAAAAGAATAATGAGGTTGTGTGTGGTGTTTCGTGCCTATAGCCAGAGCTACTTGGGAGGCTGAGGTAGAAGGATGGCTTGAGCCCAGGAGTTTGAGGGCAGCCTGGGCAACATAGCAAGACCCCATCTCTCTAAAAAAAGAAAAAAGAATATATATGGGAGAAGGGAAGGATGAAAGAGCATTGCAAGGAAATCGTGCTTTATCCAGCAAAACGTAGGGAGCCAATAAGGGCTACATATTGGTGCCTATTGTTGCCTATTTATCCCTAACAATTACCTTTGCCAATAAGAAAAATATTCAGAATAACCATATGCTTGTGCAGTTATTACCTAGCAACCCTTGCAATGCAGATGAATAGATCCACAGGAAAACTTGTATGCATAATTGTATTTTAATCTTATTGTACATAAGTTTGTGAAAGGGTTAAATGTTAAAAATTGTTACTTCATGTATTCGTTTATATTTCATATTAGGCTATATCGTGTCTGATGATATCTTTGTTATAATTTCCTTTTCTGATATATCGAAATGGATTCCTAAAATCTCATAAATTTATAACTTTAGAAATGATTCTAATAACAAAGAACATAATTGTAACATAGTCTAACGTTGTATGCTATGAAGCCATTTCTCTCCTGATTTTTAGTGAATTTTTACCACAGCAAATTTGATTCTGGCTCATTTTCAATCAACTAAATAAACTGACAGAAAATTTTGGAAGTTCTAAAGATAAAATACCGAATGAAATAACACAAAACTAATTTATAATAAGTAAAAATAAAAAGCTAGTATGATGGAATAAACTTGAGTGTCCAGAAATGAACCCACACATCCGTGGTCAACCAGTTTCTGACAAGGGTACAAGGACCATTCCGTGGGGAAAGAATAGTCTTGTCAATACATGGTGCTGAGAAAATTGGCTATCACACGCGAAAGAATGACTTTGGGCTTCTACCACGCACCATATACAAAAACTAACACAAAATTTATCAAATATCTAAATGTAAAAGCTGAAACCATACACTCTTAGAAGGAAACATAGGTGAAAATCTGTATGACCTCGGATCAGGCAACAGTTTCTTAAACATGACACTAAAAGCACAAGCAACAAAAGAAAAAACATAGATCAATTAAATTTCACCAAACTAAAAAAAACCTTTGTGCACCAAAGGACGCTAGTAAAAAAGTGAAAAGACATTGGCTGGATCTTCAACCGCCCTAAGGAAAAGGAAAAAAAAGAAAAAGAAAAAAAAGAAAGTGAAAAGACAATCCACAGGATGGGAGAAAATAATTTGTAAATCATGTATCTGGTAAGTGTTGTGATATTATGGATTATATTATGTTTTAATCCACGGTCCCTGGCTCATAACTCCCAAAGCCCTTGTTAAAGTCTGAAGTTATAATGTTGGGATGCTTTAACCTTCCGAAGCAAAAATTTCTCTCTGAGTTTCTCCTGTCCTCCTGTCTCTGGTCCCTCATCCTCCCCCGAGGCTAGCCATAGAAACT